GCCCTCCAATGAGTAGAAAACGGTGACCCCGTAGCACTTCAGACCACGAAGTAGTCTCGCTTCCACGCTGGGACCTTATTCGGAAGCTTATGTAGAAGTTTAAATCCCGAGAGGGGAGACAGGTAATAGGCCCGCCTATGCTTGGTAAGGAAGCTAACTGACAGGTAATAGGCCCGTCTAAGTCTAAGGGAAGGATGTATTCACAATAGAGGGAGATGGTCCTGACAACATTACGGATGGAGTTCGGGTGAAGCTGACCGACGGAGACGCCGAAGTGATTCAAAACTTCGACGATTAGGGGATGGAGAGGGAGACGCAGCCCGACAATGACTTGTTCCCGGAAGATCACGATCTCATCCGGACCGTGCTCCCAAGGGAAGTCGCCCGTAGGTAAGCTATAAGTGTACTCCCTGGGCAGGTTGAATTGACGAACAAGAGACCGAAGTCTCTCAGACGTCATAGTGGAGGGTCCGAACTCGTCGGGAAGTGGATTCCAGGCTGCCAGGGGTGACCCGGACTGAAGGCCCTACCTCGGGCTCATCTAGAAGGCTATCGAAAGAGGCAGCCCAACCCGAGGTCTCTGCCTCAGGCCCTCCTAAAAGGCTATCTAAAGTACCCGAGCTACACGAACTAGACATTGAAATGGAAAGGAAATCTAAAAAAGCTAAGGGGACTCACTAAGGAAAAGTTACTGAACTAGGGAAGGTGACGCGAGTTGAAGACCTTGGACGCGAGCTCAAGAAACAAACGATGAATGTTGGCGAAGGAAAAGTGACCAGGGCCCCCACTATTTATAGCCACTATACCCGCACATCAACGGTCCAGATCAAAGCCATCCAATGGCTCTCAGGAAAACCGACTGCACGACCCCCGAGGTGAAATCAGTTTAGCGCGAATTTTTGACGTCCAAAAACTGTTAATCGTTTGACGTTCATGCGTAAGCTATACGTGACCCGGGCTAACTTTTGGTCGAGCTGCACTGACCCTGGTCGAGCCAAGAACATAGGTGGGTCAGACCGGAGGATCTCCGAACTGGACAAAGCACGCCACAGGGCAAATCCACCCGTCAGTCCGTGAACTCCCCACAACGGGTCAAGACCCTGGGCACGGGGAGTGGGGGGCAATTGATGGAAGTAGATTTGGCCCAACCCCTTGGCTGTGCGACACGTGGAAGCAATTAGGTATGACTTGGCAGGAGCGTCAGCTCGGCACAGCGACAGCCATCCCAAAAAGAAGCCCGAGCTCCCCAAGGATAGGCCCCGAGCTCCCCGAAAGGAACCTGCGCTTCCCAGGAGGTGGAACCCGAGCTCTCCCTAGAAGTCCCAAGCCTTGCAAGGAACCCCGCAATGGAGGAAGCCCGGACTAACCCGCCTCGGGTCGGTCCGGGCCACACCCCGGCACCACGGGACAGTCCGACACCTCGGCTCCAGGTCATATGACTGAATAACCGTACCTGACAAGGAAGCCCGTACTCTGAGGCGGCACGCCTAACTGATCATGGATTTGACAAAATGACAACTGTACTCCAATGGCCACCTGCTACCGCCATCTCAGTTGTTGCAGAGACGGCCCACTGGCGGTTATGTCTGCCCCCCACAGAGGCGGTTATACCTGATCTGGTAGAGGCTTGGGAGTAGACCTGTTCATGGGCTGGGTCGGGGCGAGCTCGGGGCCGGCTTTTACTCTTCATTAACAGAAAATATGTTAGGTCCGTGCCCGAGCCCGGCCCGACCAACGGGCCTACAACTTGGGTTCGAGCCYGACCCTTATAAAAAGCTCGAAGCCCGAGCCTGAGCCTGAAGCCCGACCTAATAAAAAAAATTAGAAAATTTCCCTATTCAATAATCAATATAAATCAGAATTTATTTACATTAAAAAATATATAAATTCAAAATTTATTTATATTAAAAAATATATATAAAGAAGGGAAAGAGGTGAAAAAAAGAGGGGTATTCAACTAGGGTTTTTAGGTTTATTTATAGGTTGGGCCGGGCCGGGCCGGGCTATTTTGGCAAATCCCGAGCCCAGCTCAAATTTATTGCGGATCGGGCTTTTTGGCCCGAGGTTAAGCCCGTGGGCCTATATACCTGTTCAAGCCCGTCCRGGGACCGGACCGGGCCAGGCCGGGCTGGCCCATCGGGCCACCCGGCCCATGAACAGGTCTACTTGGGAGTGAGTGCACCAGGGTAGTTATAAAAGGCCCTCTTCCCTAGAGTAAAGGTATGTGATATTTTTGTGCCTTCTGGTCTCAGGGTCTCTCATTCTTCTTGCCTTCTCAAGAGTACTAACTTGAGTATCGGAGCATTCCCACCGGGTTCCTCCCCCGGAATCTCTTGTTTCCTCCCTGTTTCAGGCATCTCCTGCTCCATCAGAGACAAGGTTACCGGCAGCTAGAACCGACCGGATCGTGCATCATCAATGCCCATTAATTAAAATCGACTATAATTTAAATAGAGTCTGGTTATTATTATACTAAAAACACATGTGATGTCTAAAATAATCAATCAATCAACCAATATCATGCAAGTGATAATCAATCAACTAAGGATTCATCACATTTATTGGTTATGACTTCTGATTGGTCAAAGTTCATCTTGATATCACACCTTGCGGTATTGTAAAAATTGCAAAATTGTAAATCAAATATGGAACTATATTACATGCCAGCAAGGACGAAAATTTCTTTATCATATTCTATCTTTTGAGTTTCGAATACTTGTTTATAGGTGTTTTGGGAACCCATTTTTTAATAAAAATACTAGTGAATGACCCCGTAGTAAATATAGGTGTTTTGGGAACCCATTTTTTAATAAAAATACCGTCCACTGGTTTTGCAATATGGGCACCATATGAATAGTCTATAGTAAATGGGCACCGGAAGGGATTCCATGTAATAGGTTATGGCTTTGTAAGGTGGACCCCACATGAAACGGCTTACAAGTTATATTTGGTAAAAAAACTCAAAAACCCAAATGCATCTTCATTCAACCAAATAAACCTTCAAGGCCTATTTGATTCTATTGGAAGGGTTAAGATCCATCATATGAATGACCGAATTATGCTAAATGGGTGAGTGAAATTTCAAAAATTTCATAATCCTTTTAGGAATCGAATTCCTTATGTTTTAAAAAAAATGCATTTTTATGAATTAGTCTTGCACTGAACCAGACTAGATTTGAAACCAAACAAAGAATGAGATTTATACCTGATATGGATACCATAAATGCATATCAAAAGGTGGAAGTTCACACCCAAATAAGTCCTAAAACCAACCTTCACTGAAGATGGCGTAGTGTATACGTGAAGTTGATTTAACAATACAATTTTCAGCAAAACTACAACCCAATTGTTTGGATTGAACTGGGGAAGGTGAGCCTAAAATTCCTYTGAAATTTTCTTGAATCGAACTGGGGAAGAAGAAAATTGATCTCTTGGAAGACAAAAGAGAACAAGAGAGAACAAGAGAGAGTGGTCTTCTAGTCTGATTCGCCTTCTTCTTCTTTTATCTCCTTATGAAGCACTCTCCTAATTAAATTAGGAGATTATCCAAATGTAATTTGGATCTAGACTTTATTAAGAGACAAGCGTTATCTTCTTAAGATGATGGGTGCTCCATACTCATTTTCAAACCCAGATTTGACCCAAAACACATGACAACTTGACATCTTACTTAATCTTATTAAGTATGGGCCTTAGGTTCATTTGCTTCAAAAGCTCATGATTCATTATTCAACACTGTTGGATAATGAAGGACCTCTCCCCTAACTACAAGGTACAGTGTCACATTCTCTACTCGGATGAATCCCGGGAATTAAAACATTTTGCAAACATTTTTCATAAAACATTTATATATATATATATCATATAAATATATTTTACAAAACCAAATGTCAAACACAGTTGAAATACACTACTCGTAGTTCAAGTTTCCATTAGAGAGTGTAAGCCCTATCATTCACTTTGCTCGACAAAGGGGTCAATTCTATCACTATGATCACCCACTTAGGTGAATTCTCAGACTGCCCCAACATACCAGGTTTTGACCCTTGATTGATCTCACTGATTGGCATATCAAAGACAGACCAATCCAACAMCTAGTGTAGTACCATAATCTAGTCTAGTCTAGGGGTTATGTGTAACTTTTCAGTTTTGTCCATCAATCTCCAAGGTCTAGGGCATAACATGAAAAGTGGTTCAGGTTCAATGTTTCATCCAAACACACGTTGCATGTGCTTTGGGTCTAACTCTAGCAACTCAGACAAAATGCCCAAACTTCTTTGGCAGCATATCAATGTCAACCTTGGTAGGATAAACCCCCGAATTCTATCCAACGATTGAGAAATTCTAAACTAACACGAGTCTCATAAGTGTCCAGTTTAAATGATAATTTCACAAAAAATACAAATATCAACATGAAACAATAATGTACTATTGTTCATTTACAATAAATGTATTTATACATCAATTTAATTGGAGGTAAGGACATACATTGTCTAACAGACTCTTAAAAGAGCTTCAATAAAAGCTTCAGCTTTTCCAATACAGGCCTTAAATATTAATATATCTTAGGCCCTGTTTGGTTCGCAGGAATAAGAATCTATGATTGGAAACGGAATGGACTATACTGATTCCATTTGTTTGGTTGGATGGAATTGGAATAGAATGGTATTCTCCTATTTGAGGGAATGGCCATTCCCTTCAATTCCTTTGGGAATGAAATCTCATTCATGTTGGTTCCAATTCTCACTCCTATTCCTCTATGAACCAAACATACTATGAGAATATACCATTTTGATTCCATAAGGATTTCGATTCCAATTCCAATTGCAAACCAAACAGACCGTTAGATCTGATCATGTAAACCGTCTAAAGTAGGCCATACTTTTCACTTTTGTCATGTGCTAGTGACTTTGCCACATCAACCTGTCCTTCTCATTTCAAAATCAAAATGATTTTCTTCAATGATATGGGAAATTGATGATAGAGTGGGACAGGTGGACTAGAGCAAGAGCCTAATCGACCGTTTTAAGGAAGGCATCACATTGGATATTCTGAACCGAAAATCAGGAACTCGAATTCAGTACTCAAAGCCACTTGCCACCGTTTATCGRGAATATCTCCATCAGAATTCAGTGCCATTAGTCAAATCGTGAAAATGAAGTACTGACACGTGTATGTTTATCGTTGATCTAGAATATTTTGTAGGTCCCACATGATCATTTGCCGCTGCGATAAAATGCCATATTCCACATCAACAGTGAGAGATGGATGGATGAATTGTTTTCGGTAAGTGTACGTTAGTTCATCGCTCGAGACTAAATTGTAATAGGACAGCTCCGTATCCGTCTTAAACGAGACGAACTGGAAAAAGCCCGAATATTTTGCTTTGTTTTAACAGAAAAGCTCCTGAGCTCTTCTCTCTTCGCACAATCGCACTTGGGTTTCGGTTGTCTCTTATCGCACTCCTGATTGAAGAAAAGATTTGGAACAGATTACAGAAGGACGTCTCTGCCTTCCTCTGGACTCTGGAGCCAGGCGACAAGGAGAGACAATTCAAGCTCAAGGTACGCTTCTTTGTCTCCTTCCTCTTCTCTTTATCCATCTTTTTTCAATATGCCAAGACGGGAGCTGTTTGTGTCACATACGGAAACGGAGTTCATTGTGTCAGATTCCGGTTAGTGTTCTTTTTAGTTCTTAGAGCCACGCTACATCGGTTGGATCGTCGTCGGTTTCCGTCAGCGAAACGAACCGAAATTTGGACTCCGCCGTTTATTCCGGCTGCAAAGATATTGGTAAAATAAGGTTGTGTTTGGCATGTTTTCAAGAATTAAATCTGATGAATATTGTGATTTTTCCGGTTTGATTTTTTTTTTCAAAACTCCCTCTAATGATTGACTTTTTGAAGCCGGAATAAGCTCCAGACAGTGGGGCTGATCGATTGGAGGTTTCGGATTCGAACACTCAGATTAAATTGTTATTGTTGCTTCTTGGTCAGGGTGAAGATGCTGCTAAGCATGAAGAAGACGTCCTACTCGTGGTGGTTTGACAGTCACAGCAGCCAAAGACGCTCTCCATGGCTCCAGTCCACTATTTCTGGTACCTGCCATTACGTTCAATTTTTAAAAGTTGACCCTAGAAAGCTCAGCTCYCTCCGTCCCCACTTTAGTATTTCAGTTCAATTAGAAAAATCATTGTAGTGGGGTAGCTTTCAGATTCAAAACCACCAAAAGTTAGAGATCTGTAAAATTATAATTTTATCCTTGATGGGTATGATGGAGTTTGAGTGTTTGTTTGATTAAACACCCAAGTAAGCTATGGCTGAACTGATTAGCTGACTGGTCATTTACATTGGTGTTGGTGAATACTAGTAGATATGCATCATTGATTGGTTTAACCCATTGCCTTATTTATCATTTGAATATTTATCTTAGTAGCCTGTCAAAGAGGCATCCACTGGTGGACCAGATTGATCTCCTTGTAATTTAACTCTGTTTCGCTGAAATTGAGTCTGATTTCCTTCTCTTAATCTTCTCCTTCAACAGAGCTTGACGAGAAGATACTGGCTATGTTGAAACTGATTGAAGAAGATGCAGACTCCTTTGCAGAGAGTGCTGAGATGTATTGTAAGAAGCGGCCAGAGTTGGTTAACATGGTTGAGGGTTTATACCGGGCCCACCGCTCCTTAGCAGAGCAATTTGATMAGCTCAAGTTAGAATCTGGGATCCGCCAAATAACACCACCAGGATGCCCTTTCAACGGCAGATACCAGACATGCAAATTAAGAAGAGATGGGGAGATATCCTATGACAGCTACTCTGATGCTTTTGATTTTGAGGATTCTGGGGAGTCTGAAGTTGATGACCCTGAACAAGAAGAAAAAACCCAAGCCCAAGATGACAGAGAAATGAGGGAAGAAGAAGTTTCTAGTCGAGCTGGTGACAGTGTCAGCGAAATAATGAAGCTGAGAGAAGAACTAGAGAGACTCAAGGAGGAAAATAGGATCCAAACAGACCAGCTAATGGAGAAAGATGAGGAGAAGAGGGAGGTCATAAGACAGCTTAGTTTATCTGTAGAGGTCATGAAGAAGGAAAGTACAGATTTGAGGAAGACTGTAGCCAAAGCCAAGGGTTCATCCAAGGGGAGTCTCTTTGAACTTGGCAGGTTGAAGGCAGCCTTCTCAATGAAGCTATTTTAACGGGTCTCTGAAACCCCAAACTAGTCTTCTAGGAAAAGCGGAAAACTATTCCTTGTCCAGAAAACAATGTAGTCTATAGAACATCCCTCATATATAAACAGAAATAGGGTATACAATTTCACAGAAATTACACCTTCCTTTTGCTGTGGTCTTAGGTTAGAATTGTTGAGTTTCTCACTTTTTTTATTGGGGTTTTCCCTTTTCAATAGGCTTTCAGAGTCAATCATATAGTATAATTTTGAGTTCAATTGAATATGTTCTTTCTAGATGGCTTCCCAATTACTGACCTTGGGAAAAGGTTTCACTTTCATCACTGGGCGCATCTATAGTGTTTAAATGTTGTATTTTATTCCAAAGCAACTTTATATTGTGTTTTTTTCTTCATAAGTAGCTTTATACTTTTATCATTAGATGCATCACTACATTGTCAGAAGGATGAAATGATATGTCCTAATTTAGGACGCCATGAACACAAAAGAAGCGCTATCAATAAAACCTTTTACAGCGGATAACATAGTTAAATTTGTTTAATTTCAGCTCCTCTTCAATCTTCACCTACATGTTTTTTACTCTTTCTTGGTACACCAGGAATGATTTAAACAGCAGGCGTGAAAGTAAAAGTCCTCTAGGCTCTAGTACATGGTTCTATTTAAGGTGTCCCCAGTCCCCCTACTGGGCTCCTCCTCTGTTGGTCGCTGTGTCACAAGGCGGCCAGAAGGTTGTGTGGCTGCCTGGTTTCCCTCTCTTATAATGTGGCTCAAAACGACATCAATCAAGTACTGGCTTGTTGGCCCCAGTTGGGGCCTTGGTAAGGCATTTGACTAACTGGGCAAAGGTGAAATGACAGTGCCGACCGGCCGAGGTTGGGAAATGTGTGAGGTTGGTGGTGTCCCATTGTGCGGTGTGGGGCTTTACTCTGGGTCCGTGGCAGCTTTGAACAACTCTCAGATGGGTCTCTCTGTCTCTAGACATCTAGACTCTAGAGTCTAGACCTTTGGAACTACGAATCATCTCTGAGATATGGCTTAGTTGATTGGAAGACAGATTGTGAGGAACTCTCAGCCTCTTACCCTGTAAGCTGAACCTCCATGGTTGAGTTTTGGAAAACAGGCAGGACCCTTATTCACATGTTGTCTCTGACTCTGATGTTTACACAGAACCATGTGAGCCACCCAAATCATTTAGCTAAAGTCCATGCAACTGACCCACCTTCTCTCTTAAGTGTCATAGATCAAGACAAGAGATAAACCAAAAATTTTAATTATTGCGTAAACAAACCCACCAGCAGGAATACCAAAGAAACACAGAAACCTCCCTTAAATCCCTCAATTTAATACAAGACAAGAGATAAACCAAAAATTTTAATTATTGCATAAACAAACCCACCAGCAGGAATACCAAAGAAATACAGAAACCTCCCTTAAATCCCTCAATTTAATAGAATAAATTACAACCAATTATAAAATTAAAACAAACAAAAATAAGCATATAATACAGCAGGATTCAGGAATGCCAAACCCATACGTCTTACCTACATCACAAACAACACCATGTACTAGAAGTTTTAAGGGAGAGAAGAAATTGAAGATCTACAGGCATGAAATGAGAATTGGGGCAAATCATAATAACAAATAATAATTAAAGGCTTGAACTGAAGCTCCCACCCAGCAGTACCTCAGTTCACAGTAAGCGGCGGCAGCCAGAACAGGACCAGACCCACGAGCATTGCCAAATTTAGCGGCCTGACCGGAGTGAGAGAGGTGACGGAGGAAACCGGTAACGAGTGAGAAGGTGAAAGCGCGGAAGCAGGCCCAGGTGAGAACATGTCGTCGGGATTTGGTGGGCTTGGGTTTGAAGGGATGGTGGGCAGGGACGACTCAGCTGGAGAAGCGCTCGCCCCGCCGGGAGTAGGAAACAACGGAGTAATGTCTGGGGATAAAACCGGCGGAGAAGCAGAGATGGGAGGATTTGGCAAGAATGCAGGTGCCGCTGAAATGGCTGAGGCTTGTAACTTCAGCTCCGGAGAGAGAGACAATGAAGGCGAGACCATGAAGGCCACGATGAGTACAAAGGTTAGCAAAAAGGAGGCCATTGAATGAGGATGAAATCAAACACTTTATTGGAGAGGAACTGTAATAAATGTGTTTTTTGATAACTCCGAGAGAGAGAGAGAGAGAGAGAGAGAGACGAGAGGTGGGGGAAGGATTGAAGGAAGACTGGAGTCTGGACTCTGGAGTATATGATGATGAGGCTTTACGAATGAGCCGGTCCAGCGATAGGCCACGTGGAAAGTGATTATTGGGTAATGATGGGAGAATACAGATTGGCAATGTCTGTTAATGGACAGAATTGACATATCTTTTTTAATTAAATTTAGGATAACTTACATATTGCTACCTTATACTTTAAGGACTTAGTGACATTTAGTCCCACCAACTTTCTTTTGCGACAAAACCCCCCCTGAACCTTTTAAATTCAGGGACACTTACCCTCACAACATTAGCATACTGTCATTTAACTTCATTAAATATTCTATTTAACATTTTTATAACTCCAAATTACCCTTATTTTATCCTACCATTTTGTCCCTTTGATTTTTTTTTTTTTTGTAAAATTCCAATTCTCACTTTTATTTCTCCAATTTTCTTTCGACAAAGTTCATCTTGAGAAAACGTTGAGAATGATGAGTTGATTTATTTCCTTGAGAACAATTTATGTTTTATTGATTTATAACAGTTATTTTCATCATTTAAGGGTAAGCATTTAGTTTATTTGGTTGAAAGTCGAACCAAATAAAACGAAATTTTAAAACTGAAACAAAAAAATGAACACCAAAATAAATGATAACTGAAAATTTTGATTCAGTTATTTCAATTAAAACCAAATTTTATTATAATATTAATATATTCTATTATATATTACATGTTATATAATGAAGCTTGGTTTGTTTGAAAATTGAAATTAAAATTTTCAAAAATCGAATTAACCGAATAAAAAATCAAAATGTTTTGTTTTATTTATTTATTTATTTTTTGGCTTTAACCCTGTGGTCCTGATTTTGACATTTGTTGATGTCAGCCCTAGAATCTTAAATGGGCAATTTAGTGATTTTATAGTCGCCATCAAGTTGGAGGTGGAAAAGTGCTAAAATTTAAAATTCCAGGGGGATTCTGTCACGAAAACAAAGTTGGGGACTAATGATACCACCTCCTAGGTAGAAGGTAGATTTATCCTTAAGTACAGGAAGGAAATTCAAGGGCTGCTATGATATCTTCCTTCCTTACCTACTATTACTGTTGAGCTACTCCGTCTCACGACACATTCTAATCCTAACAGATGGAATCAATACTCTATGGTAGTGGTGGATTCCGTTTTCCACAATACGACAGCCGTGAACCGACGACGTGTGCGTTGGGATCTAAACTACGAGGGGAGAAGCTTGGCCGTCTGATGCAAGGTGTGGCCCACCATCCTGAACCCCAGATGTTCAATATCGTCACCATCTCCAAATTTGCCGAAGAGTGCTGCACCGTGCAAATTATTGGACAATGATGGCTCAGCACCAGCACCGAATAGGAAGTAGGAAGAACGAAGAACCGAATTAGGATCTCCTCACACCGATCTCACAGGCATATCTCACCGTGCATTGAAAATATTTCTCGTAAATAATAACATAAATATTGAAGATGTTTTCTATATACGGTGAGATATGTCTGTGAGGTCGGTGTGAGGCGCCACGTGTGAATAGCAGATCCGGTCTCTAAGGAACCCCGCCGCGTGCGCCTGAACCCTGATGAACGGCAGGGGGCCAGGGGGGAGTGAATAGTGGTTTTGATTTCTGAAAATTGTAACGCGCAAGTCACGGATGTACGCATGCAGCCTTCCAGACATCAAAGTGGTGGAGGGGGGCCCACAAGGATGGGAGGCATCGGCAAAAATCAAACAGAGAATTGATTGGATTTGGCTGGCGAATGGCGATACTGATTGGGTGGTTGTGAGCAAATTGGCTTTCACGTGAATGATGTTCGTCGTCATCGTGATCCCGCTATTTCAACCCTATTCCAGCCCCGCCTATTCTCATGGTGTGTGAGTTGGTGAATTGGGCCTTGGATCTCCTCTCAAAGGCACATCTTACCGTCTATTTAGAACATCTCTCATGAATAATAATATACAGTTATATATTGTATAGGATATGTTCTGTGTAGCTGAAACATATTGTAAGGTCAGTGTCAAGAGTAGATTGGACTCTCTCAGGATTATCAACTTAATGGCTTGTGTCTCCAGTCTTGATCTATTCCTTATAAAGCGTTTCTCACAGCCTCATATTGAGAACATCTCCCCTATTTATGTGTTGTTATTCGTTGAGAGAAGTTTCCAATACACAACGGGATGTCCTACGAGGTTGGTGTGGAGTGCATTTCATGAGTAAATCCAGATTTTTGTATCTCAGCCAATGCCTTTATCTGGAAAATCAGATTTAGTTCTCACAAAACTGTGGTTACACCATTTACACAATCCCTTGCAGCATTGTATTGAAAATATCTCCCCATAAAAAAGCATGTAAATATAAAGACATTTCCAATACATGGTTGTAAAAGGCAAGATCACTTCTGTCAAGGCAAATTTGTGCCTACATCATTTCAACAGTCTTTTGCAACTTTGCATTGGGAATATCTCCCCATGAAATAAAGTACACAAGTACGGAGGTATTCTCAATGCATGGCAATAAAACCTACCTGAATGGGCTTTGCCTTGACTGAAACTGAACTCGTAAAAGGCTGGCCAAACGAAATAAGCACCGAAGCCAATCTCTTTACTGGAAATTAGCCTCTGTTTGGCTGTACATTAAATGAAGGGAAAATGAATGTATTTTGTAAAAACTGAACACAAGTTTTTGGGTTGTTCTTCAATGTGAAATGTTTATTTTGTTGTAAGCTCTAAAATCAAATAAAAACTTYCTGGTTTGAAAACTAATTAGTTCTCAAAACAAAAAATATATGTTTTTTTTTTTGTTTGTTTCTAAACCTTAAAACAGATATGGAGTGTTTTACAATATGATTGTTTTGTTTTCATTTGTTTTTTGAAATCACCATATCATAATTTTTTTTTTGCTTAAAAAAACAATACATATTTTTGGAATCATCAAAATAATGGTTTTTAAAACCCCAAAAAAAAACAAATTTTATGATTTATAGAAAATAATATTAAATAATTAGATGAAAATGTTTCCATATACAACCAAAACATATTTTCTATGTTTTTTTTTATTTTAAAAAAATTTATTTTCAAACCAGATGGTTTAATAAAAAAATTCACATTATAGAACAATCTTTTTTATTCCCACAACAAATATATATTCAAACACAAATGGAAACAAAAGCATTGAAGTTAGTTAGTTTTTATACATTTCTGTAGGATAAAAGCAACCCCCTAATTGCAATAATGCAAATGCAAAGTTGTAGACGACTACGAGAGTCACGAGACAGTAATAGCTAGGTATATTTGTCTCCTCACCTCACCAACACAGATATTGAAGATATCGTGGTCCATGAAACCGAACACTTGTCGTTCACCTTCACCAAGACACCAACAACAGCGAGTTATACTACTCATTCAAGCACAAACTTCAATTTCTTTTAACGCGTGCACATGTTTACATCTCTCGATTGATGTTTGCAACAGTCCACATTGTCTATCTTCTTTTATCCCTTTTTGGTTGACAGTACAGTAGAAAGTTGTAGTTGGTTAGCTGCTCGGATGCAGAGGCAGAGCCCCAGCTAACCAAACCCCACTTTATAGTTTATACTGAGCATACAGAAAGAGAAAGAACAAAGGTCAAGCAGTGACAAAAGTGAGTTTCCAAGCATTCACAAGCAAACGATATTGGAATGATAAAATTAATATTTAAAAAATATTTATTTTAATAATCGAATATTTTTTTTATTTTATTTTCTAGTTGATTATTTTAATAATCAACTCAACCCGATATATCGCACTGATTGATACTGTCGAGACACACTGATATAGTGATATGTGACCTGATTGTGATTGATAAGTAAGCTTCAAACAATAATAACAATAATGAGATGATGAAGACAACAATATGATCTAATCAGGGGCGGAGATATAGGGTCCTTCTCCCCAACTTTATAAATAAAAAACTGTTTCCTTGGGTAGGAGTGCTCGGGCCTTTTTTTTTTTTTTTTAATCGAACCGGTATTACCGGATTTTAGAAAATTGAATCGAAGCTAATCGATTCGGTTCATCGGTTTTTTGATTTTTTGATTTTTAAAATATATTWTAAATATATATATTTTAAATAATAAACAATATATCATATATTATAAATATATATTTATATATAATACATATTTATTAATTTTTAATATATAAAAATATAAAAATCTATGTATACCAGTCAATTTGATAACCACTGATTTTCTATATTGATTAACTGAAATCAAATCAATACCTTCGATTTTTTTTAAAATACTAAACCAAAATCAAATCATTTTTTGATTCGATTTCGATCGATTCGATTTTTCATTTTTTTTCTCACCCCTACCCTTGGGGGTGATCAAATATGGGTTATAACTTAGGTCTGGCCCTATGTCT